TTTACAGGCTTTGTCTCTACTGTTGAGGAACAGTGTTATTTTCTTCATAATATCTGAACTCTTAGTGTAGGGTTAATATTATAAGTATTCAGTATACTTATGAGTATACTGAAAATAGATGTTTGTAAAAAATTAAAAGTGAGAATAGGAGACGGAGGAGGAAGAAGGATGGGAATGTGAGTGGGAGGGAGGGTAGGGTAAGAACTATCACTATGTTCCTAAATCTTTATATATGTAATACATGAAATTTGCATAACTTAAATAAAATTTAAAAAATTAATAACATGTACTGCAAAGTCAAACACTAGAACACGATGCTATACAATATAGATATATGTAGTTTTAATCTCTCATTTATACATTAGTAAACATAGTGAATAGCTCTCTGAGGAAGACATGTAGGACCAGCTGCAGAGTCCCTTCACCTGCTCCTGCTCCTGACTCACTGCTGTTTGCTCTCGCTAAAGAACCAAGTTGTTCAGGAAGCAGCGTTGCAGTCATGGCTTTTAAAGATACTTGAAAGACACCTGTGGAACCAGTGGTGGCCATTTGCTGAGTTGGCTTCACCCTGCCCAGAGGAAAAGCGAAGTCTCTGGAGAAGGTGTGTGCTGACTTGCTCAGAGCATAAAGGAAAAGAATCTGAAAAAGAATCGGTGAATCACTAAAAGAAAAATACCTAGTGGTGAAGGTTCTAAGATGTGATCCCCTTCAGGTGAAAATCCACAAGTGGCACACTGATGTGCACAGTCCTTCTGAGATTGTTAAACAGATTACTTCCCTCAGCACTGAGCCAGGAGTAGAAGAGGAAGTTACCATTGCAGATACCTAAGTCAACCAACTAATTCCATAAATTGCTTACTAGTTGTTAAAAAAAAATGGGGAAATAATCTCCCTCAAGAACAGTGATTGAAAGCTTAGAGTTATATGTCTCAGACTTCCTGAATCAGAGTCAGATTCCTTACCTTTATAAACGGCATAATAATAGTTCTTTTCTCACGGAGATGTTATTGGGATTGAAACAAGTGATTACAAGTATTTAGTCTTATACATAGTATACTCAATAGTTGTCAATTATCAATGTTTAGAATATTTTATTAACTTGCAAAATGTCTTCAGGGAATATTGGAAAAAAATTTTTTTGTGACTTTGGTTTTCCCAATCATAAAAGGAAATAATTTGATTATATTACCTCAAAGGTCCTTTTTTTTTTTTTTTTTTTTTTTTTTGATTTGACAGACAGAGTTAGACAGTGAGAGAGAGAGACAGAGAGAAAAGTCTTCCTTCTGTTGGTTCATGCCCCAAATGGCCGCCACGGCCAGAGCTACGCCGATCCGAAGCCAGGAGCCAGGTGCTTCCTCCAGGTCTCCCATGCGGGTGCAGGGGTCCAGGCACTTGGGCCATCCTCCACTGCCTTTCCAGGTCACAGCAGAGAGCTGGACTGGAAGAGGAGCAACCGGGACTAGAACCCAGGGCCCATATGGGATGCTGGCACTGCAGGCAGAGGATTAACTAAGTTGAGCCATGGTGCTGGTTCCGAAAGGTCCCTCTTAATGGTAATAATTTATGTGACATTACATAGTTGCCATAAAGGTACAACTTACTTTTCCTCTGATTTTCACAGTAGTGCCAATTTCAATTTCTAGTGGAGACTAATTTTGTTTTTGTATCCTGTGAAAAAGAACCACATCTGACAATACTTTGTACGTTTTCTAGCATTAATTATCATGGGATAATTTCCTAGTTTCCTGATTAGCACAACATTCACAATCAAATTCTTTTCTTTAATTTATTTTTTTATTTTTTTTTTATTTTTGACAGGCAGAGTGGACAGGGAGAGAGAGAGAGACAGAGAGAAAGGTCTTCCTTTTTTTGCTGTTGGTTCACACTCCAATGGCCGCCACAGCCGGCACGCTGCGGCCGGCGCATCGCGCTGATCCGAAGCCAGGAGCCAGGTGCTTTTCCTGGTCTCCCATGTGGGTACAGGACCCAAGCACTTGGGCCATCCTCCACTGCACTCCCGGGCCACAGCAGAGAGCTGGCCTGGAAGAGGGGCAACTGGGACAGAATCTGGCGCCCCGACCGGGACTAGAACCCGGTGTGCTGGCACCGCAAGGCAGAGGATTAGCCTATTGAGCCACGGCGCCAGCCACAATCAAATTCTACAGAAGACCTTAAGAAGGTAATGCCTTCTACTGAACTGATGCTTTAAAAATCAGATACTAATCACACAAAATAACTCGCAAAAACATTTTTACATGCAAAATTTTGTATTTAATCCATGATTTTTTTTTTAAAAATCTTATGTTTCTAGAGAAAGTTTTACTCTAAAGACTTGAGAAAATCCATGCCAGTATGACAACAAAATCTACAATTTAGGACAGTACATTCTCAGGATACAAAATGAAACTTAAATAAAGGTGCAATGATTTATAGATTCTAATAAGACCTAACTTTAGTATAAAAAGAAACAGAGGCTTTTTGTATATGTTCAACATTCTGCTTTTAATATATGAAAGATAAGCAATATTTTTGTCACAGATATTTAATATAATTAAACCTTTAAATGGGATATTTAAAAATAGTAAATTAAGTAACATTAATCTCAGGCAATGCTGATGTTTGCTTTAACATTATAAGTATGTTATGCTGGAAGTCAGGGATTTCAGCCAAACTAAGGCAGACATAAAATATGGGTTAGGTAAAATTACATCTAAAGTCAGCATACACACTAAAATAATAAAAGATGAAATGATACAATGTCTGAGTTTTGCTTCAGAATTATACAGGAAATAGAAATGAAATAAGATTAGCCATTAGTTCTTAATTAGTTAAGCCAAACAGGTACATGGGAGTTCTTCATACTATTTTATCTTCTATGACTGCAACTTTCCATAATAAATAGCAGAAAGAAAAAATAAACCCAAGGTACAAACACCAAAACTATAAACCATGCAGAAAATGATAGATGTGATCTCATAAAAATGCCAACTTTTTATGGCAAAAATAAAGCCATATAAAACATCAAATAAAATGCCAAAACAAAATATAAAGTGAAAATTAAAAAATGGGAAAGCATAAGTGCAACGGATATGATTAATAGATTTAATATTCTTAATATGATTCCTGAGTCTTATCAATCAAAAAAAAATCACAACAAAGACTCCATGAAGTTTGGCATGGGGCATAAACAGCATACTCATAAAAGAACTCAAAACTCAAATAAAAAGATACTTGTCTCACTAGTAATGTAAATGAAAATTAAAAATGCTATGACATATACATTTCTCATACCAGCTTTATTTAAAATTAAGAACAGTTAATACCAAATATTGACAAAAACTTCAGAGTAAGTAGCACTCTCATATCATCACTCATTGTTGGTGAGAGTGTAAATTGGTAGAGTTTTCAAGTTACTTAACCTTTGATCCACAAATTTGTTTAACAAAGGATGTATTTATTTACTTGAAAACACAAGCAATAGGGATACTGAGGGAGAGAGAGAAAGAGAGAGGAAGAGAATGAGAACGAGAGAGAAAGAGAGAGAGAGAGAGAGAGAGAATCTTCCATCTGCTGGTTCACTTCCGAAATACCCACAAAAGTCAGGGCTGGACCAGGCTGAAGTCAGGTGCCAGTTACTCCTTTCCTATGTGGGTAGCAGGGACCAGGGACCCAAGTGCTTGGACCATTACCTCCTGCCTCCCAGGTAAATAAGCAGGAATCTGGATTGGAAGTGGAGGCAGGACTTGGTCCCTAGCACTCTGATATGGGATATGGGCGCCCCAAACAGTGGCTTAACTGCTGCACCACAATGTCCACCTTTGCTTTGAAAAAAAAAAAAAAAATAGTCCTAGGATGTTGGCAAAACTGAGTGGAAAGTAGATGGATTTCCCATATACTCCTTATCCTCAGACTAACTCTCCATTATTAACATCCTGAGGACAGATGTTATTTCAAGAAAAGATCTATGGTCAAGTAAGTTTAATTTTTTTTTTTTTTTTTTTTTTCGGTTCCCGACAGGCAGAGTGGACAGTGAGAGAGAGACAGAGAGAGAAAGGTCTTCCTTTTGCCGTTGGTTCACCCTCCAATGGCCGCCGCTGCAGCCGGCGCACCGCGCTGATCCTGGCAGGAGCCAGGAGCCAGGTGCTTTTTCCTGGTCTCCCATGGGGTGCAGGGCCCAAGCACCTGGGCCATCCTCCACTGCACTCCCTGGCCATAGCAGAGAGCTGGCCTGGAAGAGGGGCAACCGGGACAGAATCCGGCGCCCCAACCGGGACTAGAACCCGGTGTGCCGGCGCCGCAAGGCGGAGGATTAGCCTATTGAGCCACGGCGCCGGCTTAAGTAAGTTTGATTTCTAAGCCCTCATTATACTAAGTATGTTTATGGTCATGTTATGCTATATGCCACGGAATAATTCTATCAGAAAGCCTATTTAGGTGAAAAGATTCTGCAATACTTGCTTTTGGAAATGGTTTTATAAAATCATCAAACATGAGTACAAGGAATGGGTATAAGTAATATTTGCCAAAGGAAAAATCGGAAACATCTCAAATATTAAATAATAAGAAAGTGGTTACATGATTTATGTTATATCTTAAGCTGGAACATTAACAACAACTAAAAATGATGTAGATGATATTTACCAATAAGCAGGGTAGACAAAGAGCATTTACTTCTATGTCTTCTATCAATAATTATTATGATTATATAAATACACATATTATATCCAACCTACACACATATATAAAACAAAATCTAAACAGTAGTTTTCTCAAGGTAGTAGGACTACCATATTTTTCTGGATTACTTTTTCTAAATACAATGAACATTTTTAACTTCATAATAGAAACAGTTTTTAGAGGCAACATATTTAAGCCTCTTAACTATTCGGAGATGCCTGACATTTTAATCTATAGACATCAAATGCTTTCCATGCTTAGTAAAAAATTAAGTCCACAGATAAGAAAACTGTATCCGTATGGAGAGTAAACTTAATTCCTACCTTCTGGAGAGAAAGTGATGACAACATAACAAATGTTGTGGGATCCAGCTGTGTAAGGGGGGTAGCAGCTCTCCAGATGCTCTATGCCTTTACGGGCCTTTGTAAGGGAGTACCTCTTCTTTCTGTAACAGAAGTGACATGGGCACACTCATTTATTCAAATGCTGATTTACAATTTATTTAATGATGCTATTTGCTACTTCTGCATTTCCACACATCAATAAAGGGGGAATCACGGTATAAGTAACTTCATCCTTAAGAATACTATTGTTCATTAATACAAATAGTAAAGAAAAATTACTGTTGTTTATTTTCATATGTTTGTTAATATATGCAGAAATATAATAATTTAACATTTTGTCAATGAATATATTAATGTAATTTTTGTATATCTATGACCTGGCAGTGTGCCTCTGAATCTCATTTAATATGCCCAATCCTTTTCATTCAGTATTCAGAAAAATTTACTGAATAGTAATGAACTCTGTCTCAGGCACCACGTGAAGCATAGAGATGCAATGGTGATTGCAACCATGATATAAAGTATCTACTTCTATTCCCACTTTTAAATGGGGCAATTGAGGCTTTGAGATTTGATCTCAAATAGCCTAACTTCAAAGCTACTCTATTATAGCTCAATTAAAAAAAAAAGTTTATCTAGGGTGGCACAGCAGGTCAAAGACATGGCCTGCAGTGCCAGCATCCCCTATGGGCACCGGTTCGAGTCCTGGCTGCTCTACTTCTGATCCAGCTCTTTGCTGATGTTCCTGGGAAAAAAGCTGGGTATGGCCCAGGTCCTTGGGCCCCTGCACCTACGTGGGAGAGCTAGAAGAAGCTCCTGGCTCCTTGCTTTGACCTGGCCCAGCCCAGTCTTTGTGGCCATTTGGGGAGTGGATCAGTGAATGGAGGGTCTCTCTTTTTCCTTCTTCCTGTCACGCTGCCTTTCAAAAACATAAACCTTAAAAAAAAAAAGTTAATCTAGTTCCAAGTCTTAACACCATGAGTACCAGCAACAACCAAAAACCACAAAACCCCAAACCTTTTATGTTAAAATGAAGAAACCACCAAAGAATAATTGCCAATTTCAATGCAGTATGACATATATACAAAATATTTTTATATGGCTTTTATGACTTGTAATACCACCTAATTTAATATTCACACAATACCATAATATAGGTGTTAGCAGTCTCATTGTTCAGGCCTGGGGAATGTCTGGCCTGTGGGCTGAATAAGGCCTGCAAAATCATTTGGTCTGGCCCTTCCAGGGCAGCTGTAGGCAGGACCTGAAATTCATTAAATATACAGCAAACTGACATTTAAATTCATAATTTTGTATGGTCATGAATGATGTTATAAATATCCAAATGACCCTTGGCCGTAAAAAGGTTCCCCTCCCCTGGTTAAGATGATAACAATGTGGCTTACAGGGAATAGTGACATAGTAAGCTTAAGTCTAGGTCTTCTGAATTTGTTCCTAAAATCAAAAGGAGTAAGAAAAATTTTATATGTTGAAAAGAAATAAGGCAGTAAGAACAATAACTCAATTAAAAAGTCTGATAAACCTATGCACTGACACATACTACACACACACAGTCACACACCTACATGGTAGTAACAGGTGAAAATAGCTATCTAGGAAGGAGAAACTGAACGAAAGTCATCTTCAAGTACAGATTGTAGCTATGCAGGCTGCCTGCTTTTAAGTGGGGTCTCACAGATAAATAGTAGGAAATATTACCACTTGCTGTATGACTCTGGGAAAGATATTTATCTTCTCTGGGTGTCAGTTTCCTTATTTGTAAATGGAGATAACAATACTTAATGAGTAGGGCTTTTATAAAGATTTATACTCTTAAAGCACTTACCATACCTAGCACAATATAAATCCTATCTATATGTCTTTTTATTTTTTTAAACAAATACCTGGATGGGATTAATTTTACATATATATGTATATATTAAAGATTTTATCTATTTGTACTTACTTGAAAGTCAGAGTTACATAAAGTGGAGGAGATACAAAGAGAGAGAGAGAGAGGTATGTTCCATCTGCTGGTTCACTCTCCAAATGGCCACAATGGTTAGGGCTGCGTGAGGCCAAAGCTAGGAGTCTGGAGTTGGGTGTAGGGGCCCAAGAACTTCGGCCATCTTCCACTGCTTTCCCAGAAACATCAGCAAGGTGCTGGATCAGAAGTGGAGCAGCCAGGTCTCGAACCAGTGCCCATATGGGATGCCAGTGTTGCAGGTGGAGGCTTAATCTGCTATGCCATAATGCAAGCCCTGGGTTAGTTAATATTAATAGAGCCCCCTCACAGAGCATATTAGCATCAGTCAGAATTTTTTTTTTTTAATTTTTTTGACAGGCAGAGTTAGACAGTGAGAGAGACAGAGAGACAGAGAGAGAGTTATAGACAGTGAAAGAGAGATAGGGAGAAAGGTCTTCCTTCCGTTGGTTCACTCCCCTAATGGCCGCTACAGCTGGTGCTGCGAAGATCTGAAGCCAGGAGCCAGGTGCTTCCTCCCGGTCTCCCATGCAGGTGTAGGGACCCAAGCACTTGGGCCATCCTCCACTGCCTTCCCGGGCCATAGCAGAGAGCTGGACTGGAAGAGGAGCAACCGGGACTAGTACCCGGTGCCCCACTGGGACTAGAACCTGGGGTGCTGGCACCGCAGGTGGAGATTAAGCCAAGTGAGCCAAGGCGCTGGCCCCATCAGTCAGATTTTACATCTGTTAACATCTTCAGTAATCCTCACTTTAGTCCTGTGAGGTAGATATCATTACTGGCCCTCAGCTCTCCAAGTTGTTAAAAACAAACTTAAAGAAACTGATCAACTGAAAAGGGACCACTGTTTACTAATATCAAGTACATCCTAAAAACCAAATCACATAGCAATTGCCTGATTAGTACACAGTTAAAGCAAGGAAAATTGCAAACTCAAATTGGACCTTCCATCAAGCCATAGCTTGTTTACTATGTTAAGAATTGTCTCTTACCTTTGATATGACACTTTGAAAAGGTAAGGCATAATCAATGCAATATTCTTGCCAAAAATGTCTAAATTGAATTTAATAAGTAAAAAAAATTCAAAAAATTCTAAAAAAGGGCCATTTTTGCATGATTCTAACTCCACCATTTGGGGCAAGTCCGATTGAGCATGTCCCAAATTGTACATCTCCTCACTCTCTTATTCCCACTCTTATATTTAACAGGGATCACTTTTCAGTTAAAATTTAAACACCTAAGAATAATTGTGTGTTAATTACAGAGTTCAACCAATAGTACTAGAACAAAGAAAAAATACTAAAATGGGTAAAGTATTACATTGTACATCAACAGTCAGCACAAGAGCTGATCAAGTCACTGTTTCTCATAGTGTCCATTGCCCCAAAAGGTGGAGTTAGACTCGTGCCAGGGGATTCCAATACAATCCCATCAAGGTGGCATGTACCAATGCCATCTCACTAGTCCAAGTGATCAATTTCAGTTCACAATTGACCATACTGATAGGTCTAAGAGTCAAAGGGATCACACAAACAAGACTAGTGTCTGCTAATACTAACTGATAGAATCAAAAAGGGAGAGAAAGATCCATCATGGGAAGCGGGATACACAGCAGATTCATAGAATAGCAGATGTCCTAAATAGCACTCTGGCCTCAGAATCAGCCCTTAAGGCATTCGGATATGGCTGAAGAGCCCATGAGAGTATTTTAGGCATGGAAAGCCAAGACACTCTGGAGAAAAGAGAAAAAAAAAAAAAAGAAGAAGAAGAAGACCTAAATGGAAGATCTCTGCGAGTGAGATCCCACTGGAAAGAACGGGGCCATCAAAGAAGGAGGTACCTTTCTCTGAAGGGAGGAGAGAACTTCCACTTTGACTATGACCCTGTCAGAATAAGATCGAAGTTGTCGAACTGAAAAGGCTTTCATAGCCTTGACAACCCATGAGTAGAGCCTAGGGAGATTACTGACGCCATAAACAAGAGTGGAAATTGTTAACAACAGGAGTCACTGTGTACTTACTTCTCACGTGGGATCTATCCTTAATGTGTTGTCCAATGTGAAGTAATGCTATAACTAGTACTCAAACAGTATACACTTTGTGTTTCTGTGTGGGTGCAAACTGATGAAATCTTTACTTAATATATACTAAATCAATCTTCTGTATATAAAGATAATTGAAAATGAATCTTGATGTGAATGGAATGGGAGAGGGAGCGGGAGATGGGAGGGGTGCGAGTGGGAGGGAAATTATGGGGGGGGGAGCCATTGTAACCCATAAACTGTACTTTGGAAATTTATATTTACTAAATAAAAAAAAGAAAGTATAAGAAAAACTGTATAGATTCTCACAATAAAAGAAAATTCATTATTTAGAAAAAAAAAAAGGGGGCCATTTTTGCTACCAGTTTGGTCATTCATTAAAAATGTCAATGACTTGAACAGGTATTTAGCCTGAAAGTTAAGCCTGTGTCCCAGTGCCAGGTTTTGATTCCTGGTTCCATCTCCTGACTCTAGATTCCTGCCAATGTAGATCCTGGGAGGGAGCAGTGATGGCCCCAGTTACTGGGCTCCTGCCACTTATGTGGGAGACCTGGATCATGATTCTGGCTCTTGGCTCCTGCTGTGGCCCAGTCCAGCCATTGTGGGCATTAGGGAGTGAACCAGTGGATAGAAGTTTGCTCTGTACATCTGTGTCTCTCTTGCTATCTCTTAAGCATATCAATAAAATTTAAAAACCATGTAAATGCCAATAAACAAAGAGAGTACAACTTTTTTATATATATATCAAAGGGGATTAAATCGATTTTGTCAACCAAATGCAATGTATGAACTTTGACAGGATCCTGAAACAGGAAATAAAAACTGTAGCTATATTACTGGACAACTAGAAAATTTTAAACACAGACTTCTAGAATCTTCATCAGTAGCCCATTTAAAGCCATCTTAAGTGGCTAATTCCTCCTGATAAAATTATTATAAATGTGCATGCATTTGCAATCATCACTATTTTTTAAAGACCTATTCAGTGTGAAAAGCCTGCAAATAAAAAATTCTTGCAAGTAACAGACCCAAAAATATATACTTGGCTTGGCCAAAGGGGTCAGGTGAGGGTAGAG